CCCCAAAACCCCAAAACCCCGAAGTGCTAATATCTAAATTTTAAAACTGGAAAATATAAATAAACAGAAGGAATATGATTAAAAAGGGATTTAATTATAATGCTTGAAGTATTATTGTATCATATTTCAACTTTTACAATAATTTTTCTTAAGTGATTATATTAGTCAGCTTGATATTGGAATCTTGCAAGCTTCCTAAATTCTTGATCGAAGTGGTCAGCATCATAAAAGTCAATCAAGAATAGAGAAACATAGCACACTAAGCTTGAACTCTATCATAGAATAATCCAAAGTTAAAACTGTATTTAGAGTTAGTTGCATTCATATTTGATTATTTTATTGATGCAATCTGACACACCATATTAAGGCATCAAGCTGCTAGGTAACTTTTTCATTGTATGAACTCTAGTTCTGACCATATCTAAAGGAACACTGACCTGAGTTCCCAAAGAATCAGCAATTGCAGTACCCCAGAGTTTGTTAATCCAGTGAGGACCTAAGAAGTGGTAAAATTTTTCTTTGCACCAATCAAAAATTCTAGTCATAGATGCGCTAATAGCTTCAATCTTAAGTCTATTATCAATATAGCTCCTCTAAACAAAGCTCTTTCTTTAGCTACATGTTGACAATCTAAGAGATTGGCATAGTTTATTCTGGCAGCAAAAGGAAATAGTTCATCAATTTGCATTCTGTTGAAAACAATGTTGATTGGGTTGGTAACAACATCAGCAACAAAGCCTCCAGCAAGTCCTGCAAATACCATATAATCAGGTTTAGCGATTCTTCTGGGTCTTTATTGGTTTGCCATAGAAATATGAGAAGAAGGAAAGTCTTGTGGTTGTTTAGGCTAATGTTCTTACTATGAAAGTTCAAATGATGAGATGGTTTTAACTCCACTACCTGCTAAGTAGATCTCCTCCAAAATTTGGAATGGAAAACATCCTCTTTAGTGCCAATTCCCATAAATGTTTTCCCCACTTTGAGTATTTGAGACCTAATCCTAACCATGTCAAGTGGTTGAGTAATGGAGTGGGTGATGATAGCAATTGTGTTAGTAGCTATGAAACTTTCCCTGTTCATTCTTTAGTAACTGTTTCTCTAGTACTCCAATTCCATTTAAGTAGGCATCTTTTTTACTTGCTTATTTTAAAAATTATGTTTTTAATTTTTATATTAACAAGTTCATAAATCACTTCTTTATAATAACTTTAAGGGGTTTTGGGGTTTTGGGGTTTTGGGG